TGGGTGGACGGACGACGAACGCCTCCGCCCACCCACACCCACACCCACACCCACACCCACGCCCCACACCCACACTCAATATGTTGAAGCAAACGCTAAATAGATGACATTCTTGTATCTATATTTAAATATACACAATTGTGCAAACTTACTAAATAATTTTCTTCGACAAACTCAAAATATTCTTCCAAATTCAGGAATACGTTTTGATGATCAACTAAAATGACTATATAGCTGACATAAATACGACTCAACATCAACCGGTAAATGTTGATGAGAAATTTTGACTGAATTAGATAAAGCGTGGCAAAAACAATTTCCTTAAAGAAGAAAGATGCATTGCTACAAGAATTTTATGTTTTTATATTATACTAATACCTTTAAATAAATTTAAAACTTCACGCTTCACAATGCTAAAAACCGAATGATATCAACCATAATTTGTGTTCGTATTATCAGCACCAATGTATGTCAATTTTTGAATATCAAGATTATTTTTTTAATACATTATGCAATGTATCAACGATATTATTAACTGCTTCACGTGGTTGTTCCACAACTTCTGATACAGCTCTTATAATACCCGATTTAATTGTAAAATAATTAATAATGAATGGAAACATCTTTATGTTCTCCTTGTTAGAACTATCAAAAGATAAAGAATAAGAAGAACAGTGATCAAGTTGTTGAATAACTTTACAAAGTAAAAAATGAAGCTGAAATTATGACATATTATATAAGAAGAGAAGCTAATATTGAGCACAAATGTCTGATAAACACTGAATAGTTTCTCATCTTTTTTGTTAGATAATATTTTTTCTAGAATTACTACAGATAGAATTAACTCATCAGGCACATTTACTGATAATTCTCGTGCTTTTGTTTTATCACAAGTGATATTTTGTCCAATTTGAGAATCATTAAAAATTTTCTTAAGAAGATCAATTGTACATGATTGACTTAAATAACTATAGCCATGGCGAACTCCATGATAAACAAGACTAAGTTCAGCTGCAGTCAATTTAGTTAGCGTTGATTATACTCCAATAAAATCGTGTATTGATCGTGCTAAATAACAAAAAATAATCTATTCAATAAAACACACGGCGTACCAATCTTAACTTTTACAATTTTCTTTTGCTTTGGTTTCATCTAAACGTGTATGACTGGATTGTTCAATGTGACGACTAATTAAATAAACACCACCATTAGAAATAGAGAAATCTGATTTACAAATAGAACAATTGGCAGAATATTTATTAGTTTGGCATTTTCTGATAAATGCTGCATATTTTGACTCTTTCAACCATTTTTGGTTGAAAGTACAACGTCGTTTTGACGTTGATGAGCTATTTCTGTTTCCTTTGATACGACTAATTAGTTGGCTTGTTCTGTAAACCAAAATCTTCTTCACCTCCTATTGTTGTCGCTTCTGAATCATCAGAAACTTCAATTTCAAAAACCTTGTTCAATGCCATACAAAGATTATTATCAAATTCATTGAAGACAACATCTACAACTAGATTCATTTGGACACAGTATGTATTTATCAAATATAATATGAAAAAGCAATGAAACAGTGGGAGACAAAAAAAAATGTGAAAATTTTATTAAAATTTATTTCATTATTCATGAACTTGGTATTTAAAACCGAAAGCATAATTCAGGTGAAATTAACAAAATAAATGTTTATATCTATTGGTATGTTCTTCACCAATAAATTTTATTATAGATATCTTTATAGAGCTGACAAAACTCTAGTGAAGAACAGTTTTTTTTTTCGTTATAAAATTAGTTAATCGCATATAATGCTTCAAAGCCTAAAAGGGGTTCATATTTTGTACCCATGTCGTAAAATATTGAAGGCAACGCACTGCGTAATGCGTTTCCAAGACTGTAACATGCGTTACGCGACGTTTTTTCAGTACAGGAGGCGTTTTGCAGCATTCTTATTTAGATAGAATGCGTTTTGCTACCGTCATTTTTCGAAACGATCCGAAACGCTACTTTTGAGAGAGCGTTTTGAAGCGTTTCCGAGGTAAAATGCTGTCGAACGCACTTTGATCGATAGGCAACGTGTTTCAGAGACACGGATTGGAAAAAATGTGAAACGCATTTCTTTTCCAAACTCTTTTTGCGTTGTTTTTACTTGTAATGATGCAAACTGCATCCATTCTACACACAGAATCTCACAAAAATTCATCTATACAAAGCATGCAAGTTAAGCAAAGTGAGCTCTCTAACATTATTTTGGAAAGCATCAGAAATGCCATTTGAAAATTTTGCTCCTGTCACTATTTTTGAACATGAAAATCATAGTTCAGATTTTCTGAAGGCAAGATTAAAGTCGAATTTTTCTAAAAGTTTAGACTCCCGGACCGTTATCTAAATCTGATTCGAATTTATACTAATATTGAATATTAGTGTGTAACAAAAATACGTTCTTCTTCCATTAAGACTCATTTAACTATGTTTTTATTGAAAGAAAACGCGTTTGGTAACGTTCAACCAAGAATTGCTTTAAATATTGAACAATTCGAAAATATTTAATAAATATCGATGCTAATATAATGTGTATGACAGCTTTGTTTGGTTATTTCTGAACAAAAGAATTCTTGCGTTATTTATTATTTGAAAAATTTTTAGTATCAATTCATATTTGAACTATTTAATAGTGACCGATGATACTGTGTTCAATACTACTAAATATGATTTTAGTTCGTACAGTATTGGTGTAAGCGTGACCTTTTATTAAGAGAGATTCGACTTTCAAAAGAAAATTCCTTTTCATTTAGCGATGTAACTGGGTAAAAGGATGACGACTTTACATTTACAAAAATATATTAGATCAAGAAAACAATTAAAAAGATTAATTTTTAAATTTTCAAAAATCTATATATAAGAAATTCAACTTGTTTAAATATTAAACACAATTTAAATCAATTGAATTCGTTTCAATTGAATATTTAAGTTTGAATTTGAAAGAGTTTAAATAAAAAATATATCAAGGGGAGATCACACGTAATTGAATATAGGCACCAAGGAAATGATAATTTATTTCATCGGAATGGAAAACTGGAAATCTAATTTAGTAAGTTTACGTAAGA